AGAATAATTACATACCTTGAGAAAAGCAAGATTTCTCTTACCTTTAAAGACTAATGTGTTCCTTAATCTTCATGAAATGGGAAGAACACCTAAAAAAATATAAACATAGGTAATACCAAAAAAAGCAAAAAGAAAAAAGAATTACTATGACTTACATTCAATATGGACTTTGTTAAGCTTCATTCAATGGTAAATAATACCTAAAAATCACATGGTTTAGTTGGATTACGTGCGTTACACATATAACATAATGAGCATTCAAGTAAATAGTCATATAAATATATAGCGCATGAATTTTTTAATTTTGAGACTGTTCATATTGCATATGTTGATCTACCATTTGCATCACTTTTGATATGAGCACGGGAATGTGCATCTCTACGTTGATCTTTGTTCAAAGAACTCTTGTGAATTGAGTAGTTTATAGGGTTACGACCCGCTTCCTAATATTACATAGTTTTTTAATATACATTGAACACTAACTTAGTAAATCATACATCAAATAAAATAGGAATCGTTTCTAGAGTTATGATCTATTGCCTATTATGTACAAATTTTGACAATCTTTAATATTTTTTTACGATTGATAAAAACAATTATTATCACAAATAAATATTGCACTACATAACAATTAACATATTTTATTTGATATCATGGAAGTACAACATGCATGATAAAAATAAATAAATAGCACGCATGGGGCCTATTCTATTGATTTCGATAAATATTGCACTTATGAACAATAACGATAACACAGACAAATCCAAAAAAAAAGAGTAAATAATTTCTTTTGCAACCAATAGATCATAATTGGCTCGTCTTCTTTACATGCTTATGTTGCATTCAGTTTATGAAGAATGAGTTTGTTAGTATTCTTTCTTTATTCATGGGTAAGGGAGCCAACGTAGTATTTAGGAATGAAATTGGTGTGGGCTCTAAATGCTATATTCATATCATTTTATTTTTATTTCGTAATCTCATTTCTTCTTTTAATATCATATAAATTTGTGTTGAATGAACCATTTTCACAAGTAGATGTACTTATATCTTTTGATAGTTAATTACTAGCACATGTTTGCTCTTGAAGGCTGCCTGTGCATTGAGTGAAATTTCTATATTAAGAAATTCAATTTTTTTTATTTATATCAAACACAGGTACTTAAAACTTTCTTCCAGGAGGTTATCAAACATTGAAACCTAAAACTTTTTTAACTTCCCAGGTAGTTATCAAACATAGAAACCAGGAACTTCTTTAACTTCCCATGAAATTATCAAACACTTAACCATGAACTTCTTACAATAACTTCTATCTTCCTAGCAAAAAGGAACTTCCAATTTACACTTAATGAACTTGCTTCCAGTTATCAAACAAGCTGTAAGGGAAAAGTTTATATAGATCCGAGGCTCTAATCAATCAAATTAGAGCCTACCTCAAATTTTTCACTAAAAGAGGTTGTTTTGATGCACAAATTCATCAAATTGATCATCTCGAACATGCAAAAAAAAAGGATTTCAAGTTTTTGAAATATGTATTTTGTATTTTGTAAAACATTTTTGGACAATCAATTTACAAGTTGTCATATATATGTTGATCTACACTATTCTTGAAGCTTAAAACTCTAAAAATAAAGATAAAAATATATTTTAAGGCTATCACAAAGATTTCCGGTATTGAAACCACATTTCTCGACACTATTTTAAGGTAGGCTCTATTTTGATTGTTTAGAGCATAGGCTCTATACAAACTGCATCCCTTATACAATAGCTTCCCCTAATGCACTAAACATCCATATTGTTGACGGATTTCAATAAATGGTCATCCCACAAAAAATTAAAATGGACAGTATCAAAATTATATAAAAAATAAAATGGATGGCATCAAAATTATATAAAAAATAAAATAGACGGCATCAAAATTATATATAAAAAACATTTCATTTTTTTTTAAGTTTATTTTTTTGTTAGATTCCTACACATCATAATAGAGATTTTCACTTCCTAACATTTTGAATGCAAAATCTAACTCGCAAGTCGATATTGGATAGAGACCTCATTTATATAGATGAGTCTGACTCATAAAACCGATGTCCTGTAATTAATGTGTAACTTGTAGTCAACTATCAAGATATCATTGGTCCGCTAGATGTCTCCAAATATAAATTATATATTTGTGGGGAAACACATAATGTTCACCCTCTAAATATTGGTTTTTGGGGATTTTATATTGGAACTCTTTTGCGAGTTCCTTTTTTTCAAGTGCTTTGGAACCTCAATGTGATAAAAGGCAAGTTAAAGAATCCATACATGGTTATTTTTTAAGAATTTAATTCGATAATAAAATAGTTTGTTCTTGAGTTTCAATTTTTTCCCTTCATATTCATGATCGTCGTTGGATAGACAAACTTTTAATCCAAAACCCATTTAAGTAATGAGTTTTATTTTTTTTATAATTCAGTGGGTAAAGGGTTACTTACCAATTTAAGAATGCCACTCAAAATATCACGTTATGACGTTTCGCAATTTGGCTATATGTCATTGAGCCTTGTCCACCTGACCCATCCTTCTCTATTAGTGGAAAACTTTGTGAAGAAGTGTGTTATAGTACATGTTTACATATTGTGTGGATTTAAGCAAGGCCACTAATATCCACCACACACGGTAGGGGGTGTTTTTTTTACGAACTTTGAGCAATGGAACAATGCCCCTTAAATGTCCATTACAGACATCAACGGTTGAGGAACTTGTTATATCTATACAAAATATGTGAACATGAACTACACTGTAAAGACCCCTAAACTTTTTACATGTCAATAAATTTTCAATTTTTGTATCAAAAAACTGTACATGCCTAAAGAAAGTATATAATGCGGCTATTTATCTTTGGTACAAGATGGTCAATAATCAATCTTGACCACTAATATGAAATTGGGTGGCTGCATTTATTTCATCGACCAAGCTTAATAGTTTAAATGAAAATTTTTCAAATTTTACAATGCACCTAAGCTATCAGATTTCACATCGGATAGCTGTAAGTAATTGTACCCTCCCGCTACCGAAGGTAAGTGGTCTAATTATATACAATCCCGACTCGATAACTCACCTAACCGTATCCAAAAAATTTAAAAGAGAGGTGTGCACCTCCGTGCCCCATGGAAGTGTGAACCTCTCATTATTGAATGAGAAGGGCCGACTTCTCACGAGAAGCTCACTCATGTTTATATTCACTTTATAAAAAAAGAGAAAGTATAAAAAAGAGGGACCAGGTTTCTATGCGGCCAAGCCCGCATATGTAGAAATGCAGGCCTCATAATAAATCTATTTTTGAGATGGATTTTAAGACTTAATTTTCAATGATAAGTAATCTTTAACATGGAGATCATGAATATAATAAATAATTAAATTTTAAAAACTAGAAATAATAATTATAGTAAAAAAAACATTTAGGCCGTTAATTGCCATTGTTTTAAAATGGAACACCTACTTCGATCCATCTTTAAGATGTATGCTTTACACTTTTTGGATCGTATAAATAGTCATGCGGTGCAGTCCGCATGAAACAATTTTCCTAAAAAGTGACCACTTACTTTTAATTCAACGAGGTCACAACCACTTTTGTTCATCATATTTCAAATCAGATGGTTGTGAGTGTATAATTGACTAGACTCTAAGATCAAAATTTTTTTCTCAAACCTTGTGACACACCATAGGCCATTTAATTTGACATCCAATGGTGAGTATCAATTGTGACCTCTTTGCACTAAAAATAGATAGTATTGTAGTACACAATCTTATAAAAAAAAGAGAAAGTATAGGATGAGACCATTTATCTTTGGTATAAGGTGGTTTTAATCTTGATCATTGGATGTGAAATTATGTGGCTGCAATTCTTCCATAAACCAAACTCAAATTTCAAAAAAAAATTTCACAAAAATTTGTGATACATCCAAACGATCAAATTTTACATCGAATGGTTATAAGTAATTGTGATCACCTCGTATAAAAGATAAATGATCCCATTGTATACGATCCAAAAAAAAAAAAACACTTGAAAGTAACGTTCATCTCAAGGACGCCGTCATCTCAATTTTCCAGTTTTCCAGCCATTCTTTCATCTCAAGGACTATTTTGGTCATTCTGCTCATAGGCAAGGAGTCCTTTAGTCATATCTTCTCCATTTCAAAGCCTCCTTAAAAGCCACGAGCCACTCGTTCGACCTTTTCCTCGTCGACTTTCCTCTTCACAGGGAAAATTCCCGCCCATAAGAAGCCTGCAAAGTCTATTGTTTTTAACCCAACAATCCCTTATGTTTTTAGGGTTTCTTTCTATCTCATTAAGTTTATATGGTTTCATTCTTATAACTTTGTTTCTAGGGTTTTCATATTCACAATTTGTTTATCCATGATCTCACACTGTTTTTTTGAAGCAGGTAAAGCCACTCAACTAGGGTTAACTTTTCGGGATTCAGCGCTACTTGCTTCTATATTCAATGGCGGTGCGTTTTTTTGTGATATTTTGAGTATTTTTCTTCTTCTTTTTTTTTATCGAAGATGCACTCTTATTAAGTTCGCTTGCTGTTCTATTCAACCTCTTTTGTTCCATTTTAGGGGATTTTTCATGGTTATGTAAGTTTTTCTTTTGATTATTTGGATTTCACTCTGAGTTAGATATTTTCATTATCTTTCAACTGCATTTTTGGTCTTTTATTGGGCATTTGATGGAGTTATTGCATATAATAAAATACGTTTTACATACGATTTGTCATTGTTTTTCCAATTTGGTACTTTTTATTTTCATTTTGCAGACAGTACCAGTGAACCCAAAGCCTTTCTTGAACAATTTGACAGGGAAGCCTGTCATGGTGAAGCTTAAATGGGGAATGGAATATAAAGGTACTTTGTTTTGTTAAATTTCTTTGTTCTTCTCATGAGTTATATTTTAAGAGCAGTAGTTCTCTGCTTTTTATTCATTTTTCATTGTATATTTATCGTCTGTAAAAAAATTATGTCGTTGTTCTTGACAAGTTATTGTGTCTCTTTTCAGGGTATCTTGTTTCGGTGGATTCATACATGAACTTGCAGGTATGGTTTCAAACGTTATTTTTTTGATAGATTGATTATGAACTTTGTTTTGCATAGTTTATCGATTTTGAAACTTTGTTAATCCATGGATAACATCCATTTTGAGAACTTTTATGCCGGAGCCTATTTTGTGAGTTGCTTGTTCAAAATAGAAATGGATTCATTTTGCAGCTAGCAAACACTGAAGAATACATTGATGGGCAATTATCTGGGAACCTTGGAGAGATTCTCATCAGGTAAGTGAAATCTTTTGAAACCATCAGAGTCATTATTTATTCTTATTATTATTAAGAAATTGTTCCTGCAAATTATATGATCAGAGATAAGCATAGAAATGGTTACTAGCATGGAACTCTCTGTTCATAATATACTTTGGTTTTCAGCAATGATTACCAAGTCACAATAGTTGTTGGACTATTTCTGAGTAATGTGGTTAGTGGAAGTTTGAATTTCAAATTTGTGCTGTAAAGCCCATTTATGTCTTATTTGGCTGCTCTAGACTTAGTCTCTTGAATCACTTCACTTTCTATCTGTGTCATGAAGCTGCTTTTTATGGTCAAATATAGTATTTTAGTTGGAATATGGGCCGAAATATTGTGCAGATGTCTGTACTGAGCAAATTGGGCCCATTTTGTGCTTCTGCTGGATCACCATGATGTAAGAATAAACAAAACCACCCCGGGAATTTGATATGACGATTACATTGCAACAAGAAAAGAAAAGAAGAATTTTGGAGGAAGGTTTGGGAAAATATGTCGTTTTGTAGGTTGCACGAATCTTAATTGAAATGTAACTGAAGCCAAGTGTACATTTAAAATTATCATTTTAAAAAGAAAATGATGAATGCCTTCGTGAATTATAGAGCATAAACACAAGGAATTAAAATGGAAGTCTGGCTTCTGTTTTCTGAGTTTTCTATAAGAAGAGTTATAATTATTATCATTATCATCTAAGCCTTATTCCAATTATTTGGGATTGGCTACATGAGTCATGTTCCTACGTTATTCTCTTCAGGATTCATGATAAGGTATGGCAACGTTTTATACTGGCTGCCTACCTAACGCAAATCACCTCCGTTATTCAGGCTTGGGATGGATTAAGGGACAGTTTAAGGTTCTCACCCTTATTAGACCGAATGGACATATCACATACAATTAGAAAGCTAGTGCACATTGAACACTAGAACATTCTCATATGCTTGCAAGCATAGGCATGCATATATGCCGACAGTAACATATACAGAGCACAAATTTAGGGGTTCTCGAAACATGCATATCAACTTCACAGGAACAGTAGTGAATATGTGTAACAAGCATCCTAGTTTCATAACTTTCGATTCCGAGCTATGTATGAATATATGCACATATTGATATGCAGACACTCTTCAATCAGCATATGAATATTAATTGACTGATTGCTTGGATGGTCCACTTGATGATGGTCCAAAATCCTAGTTGATAAAATGTTCATGTTGAAGCATGGAATGGCAGGGATAAAAATAGAGAAACAAATATAACTATCATTTTCCTTAAAGAGATTTCACATATTGCACGGATATTCTGTATCTGATGTGCATTGACAAGCACCCCAATGTTTGATGTCATGAGAGGGTTACACGGTCCCACCTGACTTTATTCAGGGAGGTCTACAAATTTCTAGATGCAATGGCATGGAATATACAAAAAAGCACTGCACAGATCAGCTCTCAAAGGTACATAATTACGCAGCAAGAAGAGCAGCCCCACTAACTAATCAGTCAGTGAATTGGTAGTCTTTCAGTTGAGTCTTTGCATTACACCCAACATGATCAGGTTAAGGCCCCACAAAACTCATCTTCCCATTCAAACGAAGGGAGAGAAAAGGGGACCTTTGATCTGTTTAATCATTGCATGCTTCCAAAAGTGGCGAAATATTCTTCATCTAATATATAACCACATCATTGTTCTAGATTTACAAAACTCCAGATTCATCGTGTAACTACCAAATCGGAAATGCAAGTAGATCCCAAGTATCGTGTCAGTTGGCTAATGTTATACCTCTCCCCTTTACTGCTTCTATGATGGCATCAGCATTTCCAGTAGCAGCAGTCTTGGACAGGGTTAAGTATGATTTCCACAAGGTGAGCGAGAAAGGATAAACAGAGATAGCCAACCTATGAAATCTCTCAGAAAGGCTCTCCACTTCCAAAACACTCGAAAGCTCTGCAGCTTCTACCCATACTTGCTTTATGGCCAAATGACATGCTTGGATTATGGAGTTGACCAGAGTAGAGCAAGCCCAAAACATAGCAGAAGTTGAGGCAATATCACTGGGTTGTAGCTCCAAGATACAAACTTCCACACCATGAGAGCAGGCCTATAGGTAGAAGGCACAATATCCATTAGAGCTTCCACGAAATCCCCTAAACCCCTTTATTCCAAGTGATTCAGGTAAGAGTGATGGCCCATACCATCATGTGATCTACAGCTGCATTCATCAACTACAAAACATGATGTTTCTCTTCGTTTGCCAATTCAATAGAAGGCCACCAACCCAGATGGCAGTTCCTGCTTGAAGTCAAACTTCTTTACAATGGTTTTGGGAAGTTTACCATAGACTGCCAAGTTAAGCTGAAGAAACCCGCAAGATGCATCTATTATATTGTCAGGCATGATGAAATGTATCATAGAGATAACTGATTAGAATCCGCAGAGTGTGTTTCAGTATGAAGAGGTTCAAAGACTATGGATGTGGCCTTTTTGATGTCCCCTGATATGTAGTGTAAATGGACCTTCCTTAGAATGTGATGCATGGCACAATGCTGACAGGGCAGTATTGTAAGCGTGGAACTATTCAAGGATTTGTGTCCTGCTGTTAGTAAACTGTACCCAAAGCTCATAAGAACTCTTGCAATGTCGGACCGCTAGAAAAAACATATCTATAAGAAGAGTGCACAACATAAATGTTTTTTTTGGTACAGTATTATCTACCAAGATCAAACTGTCTTTATTCGTTAGTCTTGTAATCTCTCTTGGTATGGTTTGCAGGCAAGGAAGTTGGAAAGTTTTGAAATGGAAAAAGGAGTGACTATAGTGTGCTACCTTACACTTCCTATGATTCATGTGATTTGAATTTCATGAGTAGTTCACTATATATAAATGGTGAAACTTTTAAAATATGATTAATTGCACAATATACCTTTTGACTAAAAATGTATTATGGAGGTCCGTCACAACAACCTTCCACTGCATAAATTGTGGCATCTTCATGGATCATTAGAGTTTTGGTATGTTATCTACAGTGATGAAAGTGATGATTCAATACAATTAGTTTTGTTGTGGCAATTGATGTGATCTGTTGGTATACCATTGATGTGATTTCTAAGATCTCTTTTGAAAATTTAAGTCTCGATAGTAAATGACCATGACCAGAATTGAATGGCTCTTTCCATTCCATTACTAAATCCCCACCCTCTCCCCCCCACCCCATAATGCTCTTGTTGAAAAGTACCTCGCACCCATTACCTTATAATACTTTTTTTTTTCACTAAACCCCAAGGTACTTTCAACAAAATATATAACTTTAATACCCTTATTAATGAAATTACAAAGTCAAAACAAATATTCGCCTCTCTCTCTCTCTCTCTCTCTCTCTT